AGTGGTATCATTACCAATCGCTCAACAAGGCACAGAAGCAGCAATTGAAGACTGCTCACAGGGCGGCTATGCGCACGCATCCGCGTTTGGTCCTAGAGCCTCGCGTGGGATACGGCTGCCGCGCGGCGGGTCTGACTTCGGAAGCGAAGGACGCGACCACTCCATCGTTGGACGTCTACGTGGTCGGGCCCCCGGCCACTACACAAGATGAGCTTGACCAGCGATAAGATCTCTGGGCTCGCTTATTGTTACCTCAAAAGTTCTCAATGGATCGGTACCGCGCTCGACTTCGCGCCTAAAGAGGAGACGATCCTGTATCCGCATGCGGCGGATTCCTGTGGTGCTCGCCCCTGGCGAAACTGCTGCAGATGACGATGAGCTCTTTGAACGATGTGTGCAGCGTCACCAAGAACTCTTCTCTCTGTCGAATTTACATCAGAGCCACAAAGAAGTGTACGTGCGCGTAAATCGCCATTTTTGGTTTGAGTTTGCCAGACTCAAGGCGCAACGCCGACTTACTACGTATTGTCGCCCAGCGACAAATAGAACAACTCATCTCGCTCCCGCGAGCTCTGAAATTTTTCACATGGTTGAGTCTACGACCACGGCAGCTCAGGGCCATAGCTTGAGCTCAGCCAATGGTTCTTCGGCTTCTCGGGCTACTACCGAGAAGAGCGGTGCGTACGACGACACGAAGCGTCATATTCCTTCTGATCATAAGCGTCGACGACGTCTGTGTTGTTGTGCCAAAATGGCACCTCAAACTCCCACGAGTTCTCGGAATTTGGATATTCCGCCACTTTACAAGATATTGGGTCTGACTCTGTCGACGACGTCGACCCACAACGCGTTCCACGTGATTGTGGACGCCACCATTCTCATCGAGAATAGGCGGCGGCGGACGATGACGACTTGGTCGATCGGCGTTCTGTGACTCGAGATGCGCTCGAGCTCTGGAGGACAAAGTCCGGCGTCATCGGCACTCCGCTGAGCATCTTGCCGCGGTCGCATACCGCTGTGCGGGAGATTTCAAAAGCTTGGAGCATTTTGTGCACCAATCGCCTCACATTGAGGACAATCACGCTCAGTCGGAGCGGCTTCTAGCCATCAAGTAGACAACTACGCAACTTCTTGCGACGGTGGAGTGCCTGGCGCCGCTGGAAACAGAAATCGCTGCACTCCGTGCTCAACCAATTGCTGGTCTAGCTTCTGGGTGGTCGAGCGCCTGTGGGCGCCGCTTCGACAACAAGGCTTCCGCGTGCACTTGTGCCGGATTCCGATATGGCTTCAGCAAGCATACATAAGCCATCGGGTGGTTGCGCATCCGTTTTGAAAGGTTTGCGTATACACAACCACGACCTTAAAATGTCCGATCAATCGTGAACGGAGCCTCGTCTTTGGGACAGCTGGGACCGCATGTGTAGGAAGGTTTGTAGCATTTAATAAAACCAGATCTCTAACCTCAATGTTGTTAACATTTTCTTCTGCTTCTTCGGTGTATTCTTTCTGTATGTCTTGTCTTTCAGCCATTGCATCGCGAACGTGTCGTAAGACACTCAGTCTGGCAGACAGTTAGTCATCCCTTTTTGCGGACAGTAGGGGAGCTGACACCAGCTAGCCGCTCGGCTATTCCTCCCCACCAAGCCCTGACCCATGGGAAGGTGGCGTCATCGGGACGCAAGCATTTACAAGCCCTTTCACGTATAACGGCATGTAGCCGGTAGGCGCGTGTATTTATTGTTCAGAGCAAAACCTTTGCAAATATCAAACATGACGCGAACGCGAGGTGGGAATCTGCCACATCAGATCATGCTGCTAACAACTTTGCTCGCTTTGCAAATCAATTTTGAACGCACAACCAGGTCGATCTTTATTCGACAGTGGAAAGTAGGCAGCGACAAACAAATCTGTCTCTGTAGCGGGTGAGTGAATACCGAGAGTGCACCAGGTCATAAGCGGTAACAGCGCCACACTACTTCTGTCAGTATGGTAAATAAAACTGCCATATTTTTTCGAGAAAACAATTTTATTCATCACGAGACGCTAGTAACAACCCTAGTGTACCCGTCAGCTGAACAAAGTCTATGCTTATGTACCCTTGCTGTTCAAAGCCTTGCCACCGCACTCGAGTGGAGAGTACCAAATATGCAGGGGATGATTGAGACCTTGCTCCGTGTTCAGCAAAGAATTGCACATTTAACCTGCTCGAAAGAGCATGCGGCCATCGTAAGTTTACGAGGAACCCAAATGTATTTTTATCCTCTTCCTTTTCCAAACAAATGTGATTGGTCCAACGTAGCGCAGTCTTATGTACTGTAAGAGTTGCATGTGTAGGTAGACCAAATGAGCCAATGAAAATTTCACTCATTACGCATTTAAGTGTGTTTCCACTACCATTTCCCATCGGCCTGTTCACGTCTTATATCTAAGCTCTCAGCTATGGTGTCCCTTACTCGGTGCATGATGCTTAACCTCACAGAGATAGAATATCTAATTTGGTTACAAAGTATAGCCAGACGAAAAATAGCGAATCGACAGCACATTTCATTGCCAAGGCTAGAGCCAGTTTGTTTGCCGTGGGGTCAATGAAATTAGGAGATTAACGAAAATTTTGTAGTATATGATGTAAAAATTGTCGATGCATACACTTCAACATTCAGCGCGAATCCGATGTGTGGGGGTATCTCGATCCAGCGTCGTGTACAAGGATTTACTACATAATCGTCTGATCGTCTGTCTGTCGATGATTACCAGTGGCAATGACTGATTTGGTGCTTGTCGCCTTGAACGAAGCTTGCCAACACGCTGCTGTAAAGCGCAAATTTAGATTCGACATCAACCCATATTGACAAAACACTTTGTCGATTGATAGCTTGGTAGTATTCTGGTGTGCTGCTGCTGGTAAGCAGCAAGATTGGCAATTTTGCATAGACGTTTCGCTAAGACGCAATGACGGTGTTATGAATGTTTGTATAGAAGACAAAAATTCCATCTATATCATGGACTACCAACACTTTGCTAGAGCTGACAAGCTGGCCAAACGCATTGACATGTCCGGCGAAAATTTAATTCTTACGTACATTCCAACCAGGGTACATATATGCTTGTCCACTTATGCATGTTGAACCACTAGTAAATAGCACTTGCTAAGCATGATGCATTTTCATTCTTATGTGGCCACCAAGGTTTGTCATTTGCCCACAATCTTTCGTTTTACTTATAATAAAGCTGACGTCAACTCTAGCAGTACATATTACACTGCTGGCAACTAAATGCTGCTTCCTGATTTTAACGTCATGTATGTCAACAATTGTGTTTTGTGGCGTCTAATATACGAGCCATCCTGTTAAGCTTGTTCTGACGTGAAGTCTTCTGTACTTGTTGTAGGCACCACCGCATATTGAGTGTCAAGTAGGTAAGTGCTTTCAGATAGCAATTCTTAAAACAAGCAAGAGTGGTGCAAACATGCAAAGGCGAACGCGACATCTAAACGCCCATACATTTTGTTCCTCGAAGCATTAAGCAACTAAACACATGTTGCTTTCAGCCCTTATGATGCACGAACCCCATCTATTCGCGACTTTACCACTGTATTATGTGATAGTTTATGGTCGGGGTGACGCGAGACCGCGTCTGCCACCATGTTAAACCTTGTCTCGAAGGTATACTTGGCAAAGAAAGACAATCACCTAGCTATTCTTTAGAGATGTGGAGATATTTTTAGCTTTGTGCGACAGCGCATGATCCAAATGGTTAATTGCGCTGCACGTGTATTCGGGACTAGATATAGACATGAGCTTCTGGTCGTGAACGTGGAAGAGCTCTTATTGCCGCCTAAAGCTGACAGTACTCAAGTGTAATCACGCTCTTATACTCATCGGCATATGCTTAGAGTCGAGTACGTCTTGCAGCAAAGACTTGAGCGTCGTAGACAACATGAGTTGACTGATCTGAATTTGGGAGACCCAGATTCGAGACACACAAAACGCATTAATTTGCAGCGTTAAAATTCTGTTTTCCCGCCAAACCTTAACACCATGTGACATTTCTCAAGAAGATCTGTAAGCGTTTGTGCCATATCGGCTACTGTGCTAGGTCGGCTGGTTTCTTATTTGTCCAAGCAAGGCCACTTTCTCGAGATGTTCTTGGACACACATATATATGGCTTCAATTTATATAAGTGCATACCCTCAGCCACCGGTCACAGGGTTTACTTTGGTTTCGACAGTCGACAACCCGTGCTCTGCATGACTGTGGACAAGTGTTTTGTTGAAAAAAACTGTTCTAAAGTCACGATGTAGACTATAGAGCTGCGCCACCATTCGATTTAGCGTCACTGGCGTGCATAATTATGCAAGAGCATTCTGCACGGAGTACTCGCCGTAATAAGAAGAATAATGATGCTCGCATGATCAGTTGATATTTTCCATCAACAAGGTCAAGGCCGCTGAGCAAAGTGCAGCTGACCACATTTTTTCTGCCGCACATGTTCTCTATGATTCGGCGATTGCACCGTTCAACCGATTGCATGTTGCTTATTATATGCATGTGCGATTTGCCATTTGCTGTTCGACTTTCTGACTCGGAATTTGTTGCCGAGCGAGAAGGGTGGTCGATCTCACTAAACTTGCATTTTCCTAGGTTAAGATCAATGCGTCAATGATACCACAATTCGTGCCTAGTTTAAGCCATTATCGTGTGGTGTAATCTTTCGTTGCGGGAGGTGATTCAGCTTCATAAAACCCTCCGCATCGGATGGTAACACTTGCAGTGAATTTCTTATCACTACGCCGTACTATTTTTTGACAAAAGACAAAAGATTCAAAAGTTGATACTGCACTTAGTACTTAGCGAGTGTCGCAATGCCGGTCTTACACGATGAACTCAAAACTTCTTTCGAAATTCACCGTACCATTTCGTGCCTTTGGCATGTTGTAATACCTTGTACACATCCCCGAGGAAATAGACTTTAGCTCAAGGAAAACTTTTGCCGAAGGTGGCTAAGATGTACTTATATCCCGAGGGCTGCCCTGATCATTTTGTTCAGGACTGAATAATCGTTCTTGCAGCTTTCCCGTTGACTTACCTGCTTTGTTATGTGGGTGCATCACATGGTTGATCAATTTCAGGAGTATTTTTCTATCGTTATACGCATCAGTCATCCCTCTCAGTTTGAGGACGTGGTCAACCGCAACACACGATCGCTTTAATTTCTCCTTAAAGCAAGCAAAAGAATTACCAGCATACACATAAAATAAACCGTACCACCGAATAAAACTCTTGAGAGGAGAACTTACCATCAACTATTCCTCTCTCATGAAATATACACTCTGGAGGCCACGACTTACGATTGCTAATTACTGTCTCATTCTGAATCACGGCTCACTGCTGCTTCTGCCTTCCAAGCTCTGCTCAAGGCATATAGAAAAAGCTTTGCTAGATGAATCAGACAACCAAATTTTCTACATGAGAGCTATCGTAGACTTAAATTCGCGCCAAAATTGATTCTGCTTTTGGCACTGGTGAATTCAAGACTCATTAAAGCTCCAGGAGATAAATGTGTGGCACTGAAAAAGTTTGAGCTCTTAGTCGAGCAAGAGCTCATGGTATCAAAGCCACACCATTACTTAGATCGTATCGTGAATCCAGTTCCAGGACGAAGCAGCACTTCATACTGCCAAACTTACTAATCTTTAGAAGATGGATGAAAATAGCCCCCGATAATTGAACTGGTTTCCCCCTACAGACATAGTACCGTATTCGGTATACGCTTGCTGCCTATAATTTTTGACATCCGCTCCTGAATTTCTTAGCACGTTCTACGGCTTCGGAATACTTGTAATTCTGATACAGACAACCAAAAAGCTAAATTTGCGAGTTTCAACTTTCTCCAAGACAGTCACCCTCTGGACGGCTGAATCCCGTTAAGCGCGCATCCGCGAGGTTCAATATATGTCATTTTAATAAATTCTGCTCTCTGTCGCCTGACATACTTGAGGGGGTTGTCGTACCACTTTGCGCGGGAGCTTGACTAGTTGCACATTTCAGCTAATACTCGCGACATATGTCCTAAAAACCTTCCCATGTTGGGAGTGCGCCTATCACTGAGGTATTGAAATTTAGTGCCCACGCATGCAAGCGTCCCTCCTACATTGAATACAGCAAGAACGACGCGCTGCTGCTTCGTTTGAAGCAGGCCATAATAGATTTCTTTCGTCGTACTTTCAAAGGACAGGACGCTAAACGCCAGGGAGCCATCTGTTCATTAACCGGAGAGCGTTCCTCAAGATGTCTTCTTACCAGCAAAAGCCTTCGGGTGAGCGATAACATGATCAAACCCTCGGACCGAGTTTTTCCTTTCTGACCTCATTTAGGCCATCAACAAACGCAGTTTTATTACGCTTGGCTAGTTGTCTCAGGGACAGATGCTTGAAAAATTCGATTTTCATCACACAGAAGATTTAGTTGCTTCACGACCCAGTCTTATACATGAGTACGTATTACCAAGTGCAGCGGAGTTGCCGTGCGCTTTGTACGGCTGAAACTCGGACTCTTGTCCGAGTTGATAAACGCACAGCGGTTGAGTTCGTGCACTTTGCACAGGAGAGCTTTCAACAAAAGGTTGCTCTGCAACACCACGGGTGACAAATATTTAGCTATTTAATTCTGTACGGTTTATTATATCTGATAATTAAAGTATCTGTATCTTTACTGATATACGTGCAGCTCTACAGCCTTTTTAGGTACTATCAACTACTTTTTGTCGTTTAGAATACTTTGAAGTGAAAATGCGTTTTTATTCAGGTTAAATTCTCTCTTCAAATCATCTTCGCTCTGATGTTAAGGCTAGAATTTATCAAGAAAATGTCAGTACATAATATAAAAATTTTCAATATCTGCCGATGCATATCGCAGCTTCCCCACACACTCCCACTGCAAGTGTGTTCGGAACGAATAATTCCTCCTATTGATCCAAGGACGGCCACCGCCTGTGGTAATCACAATAACCATCGATAAATTCATTGAATTTGTCGGCGTTGGGATGTCTTCTAATGATACCAAGTGTATCCTGTTCAGGTAAACGCACTTACTGAAGAAGGCTTAGGTCGCCTGGCACGCCTCACCACGTGTTGCTCGCTTTTAGCGCATTATTGGCTTATGAGAGAAGTTTCCAGGTTAGTGACATTGTTATTATAGTCAATAGGCTATTAACCTCCTTGACCTGATAAGTACCCCCAGTTTTGATACAATAGGTATGAAAACGGATGTACAACTGTAAAGAATGTACTGTTCATATTATACACACAAAGTATGAAGTCCGCACAACATGTGTATGGACCTTCCCCATTACACCGCACGAGCTCGTCTTCTTGGTGGCTCTCCATGTATACGCTGATTGGTCGCAAGAGCTCGTCTTATTGACGGCTCCTCGAGGGGTGCACTTGCCTGACTAATGCTCGACGTCGCTCGAGAGGTGCGCTTACAAATTAGTGAGGGGGGTTCCCGTTGTTGGTTCTCGAAAGCTCACGCCAAAATGTGTATATTGACAACATCTCGGGGTACTGACCCCAACATATTCGTGAAAAGTGAATTACTCGCGTTTGTTGTGAGAGGCAAGTCGCACAAGTGTTGTAACGGGGTTACATGTACCCTGGTACGAAAGGTTTGGTCACCCAAGATCGTGTTACCGCTCAAAGATGTGGATTATACAAGACGGTGTAATCACACAATGATGTGGCTACACCGAACGAGAAGTCACTATATAGCGGGACTGCCAGTATTTATTAGGTCTTACTGTTCAATCAGGAAACCCAAGGTTCTAGATATAGGTGGCTCTGCCGCATATAAAACAAATAAATACAGTTTCGATTTTGAACAGAAGAGCTCATTTGCCTTGAGTTAAGGTTTTGGGTAAGCGGATTGCAATCCGCCACACTCGTACTGGTTCTAGTATAGAGCGAAGGTCGGTGACCTTAAGTTAGCTTCCTCTAATAAAAGAGCTATGACAGCTCCGCTGCGCATAAGGCACCACTCAACCGCGAAATTGTGAAATAAGGAAC